ACTCAAAGCCAAACACGTTTATGGTTACCCAGCACACAGTAAGGACATAACATTTCATTTGCCAAAGACCGAATTGTTTCTATATAAGAAGTTTTATAGAAAGATTTCTTTTTTAATCAATAGACTTTTGCTTTCGTGAACATAACATTACAAGCTAATTATTATTCTTTTATGTTGGTTCTTCTGTGAATGGCTAATAACTTGCAAATCTGGTGAATCCAGTTACAGGTAGTCTGTTCCACCAAGTTTAGTTTGCAGGTCTTTCAAGAGTTCTGTTTTCAAAATCCCCTTTCACCCTGTCAATGCTAGTTTAAGAAAGTTTAGTATTAGCGGTGCACCTAAAAATAAATGGAGTACTTTGTTTTGCATTTCAAGGCCGGATTCAGAAGCCAGCCAGAGCCCACAGTACAGCTTCGAGTCATTACCTCAGAAGATTTGTTTAATCTGTGGGGATGAAGCATCAGGCTGTCATTATGGTGTCCTTACCTGTGGGAGCTGTAAGGTCTTCTTTAAAAGGGCAATGGAAGGTAGGCTCCTTTACCCTCATCTTTTATTATTGATTTAATTGTAAGTGCAGACCATCTAATATTTTATAGCTTTCAATTATCCTTTGCATCTTCTAAGAAATGGTGATATATTTTTGTATGACTTAAAATATATGATCATGTTTTAACAATATGTTTTTATTTATAATACTTAAAATTGACTGTGGTTGGATATTCTATTTGCATACTCTTTGACTAACATTTTCAGTATTAGACACAAGTCATAACAATCTTGGACAGTGCTACTATTGTTCACTAACTATTTAGCTTTCAAGAAATTCTAATCAAATTTTATATGTCTATTATATATATAAAGCACTTTAAAATTTTGATCAAAAGCAAAATGATAGGAGTTGAAATTGTATATATGTACATATATATACACAACATATATGTAGATTCAGTTAGACATATAACACATATATACATATATGTACACATATAAACATACACATACATGATGCAGTTACACATCTTCTACATATGTTGTCTTTTCCTTACAAGCATATTTATGTAATACTTTTATAATGGTAATTTTAAACAAATTTTTAAAGTTTCCTTTCATTTAGTATATTTTTGTAAAAGAGGGTAGGAGTAAACAGATAAATGAAAAATTTGGACATCACAATAATATAATTTCTAAAGAAGTATTTTGCTTTAAGTAAAGCTTTCACATTTTAAAAATCATTTAAATTACATATTTAATGATTTTGGATTGAATTGATAGTGTTTCAAACTTTAACCTTCATGGAGAATATTTTCGAATTTCTCTTTCTATCTAAACTCTAAGCAGCCAAACACATTTATATTTGAACATAAAAATACATTGAAAGATTATTTTGCATTTTAATACTATCAATAAATGTATTTTATAACAAGCTGAAATGGAGTTTAGTGTTCCCTCTGGATTGCTGAGCTCACACCTAGACAAGGAACCAAAGATCTGAATGTCGGCTTTTTTGTTTACTGTTTCTGAGTTGTTTTTATTTCAAGAGTCCTCTATTTATAAGCAGAAAAGGAGAGAATGGGGAATTTTCACCTTAAGAGGGCTTTCAAAGGAGTTCATAAAAAATATTTGCTTTGTGTATTTTTAGAACATGATTTGTCTTCACAAAAGATGAATGTATTTAAATGATATTGAACATACTCAGCTTCGGGGGGGGGGTTAGTTTCATTTTGAATTAATTGAGGCACTGTTAAAAAAGAGTATTTGAGAATATTGAGCAACTGAGAGTGGCCTTAACTTTCCCATTGATATCATTTAGTCATAGTTACAGATGGATGTTCTTTGTGGGGAAAGGTCTATTCTCCAGTGGGTAATTGTAGTTACCGTCACTATCTAACCTTGGTTGTGGTTTCTTGAACTTTCCCTTCTGCATTAATATGATTTCACCCATTATTACAGTTTCCTTAGAACAGTATAATTTTTAGAATTGAATGTCCCCCTAAGAAACCACTAAAGGCCAGTTTTTCCCAGCCCTGCTTCTTCCTTTTAAAGATAAGCAAGTCCCAAAGACATTAATCTTAGTTTCCAAAAGTCACACGATTAGTTAGTAGCTGATTGTTAGTGAACATAGGTTAGATATTTTTTAATTGAAATGCTTATGAATCAGAGATAGTATGCACAAATAAATATATGATAAATGCTATCTAATTCTCAGAATTTACTTCCTAAAGTGCATGTATAGAACAAAGAGCACCCTAACTGTAAAATACAAGTGCTTCCACTTCATTATCATCAGAATAGCATCCAAAACATAGAAGTCTTCCCAAATTTATTCTTAGAAACCATTTGATGGATCTCTACTGTTGGCATAGTCCTGTAGTCTTAAGTAGTAAAAATAAAGCACCCTTATTTAGCAGTATTTGTAAAGAGAAACTTAAGATAGATGTTGATAAATTGTTTATGAAACTAGAGCGAGATTATAAAACTGTATGAGTAAATTCCTTCATTTGGCAATTATTGTATACCTCTTATACTTACACTTATACCAATGATATTCTTTCCCTGAGTATTTGAAAGAATGCCTGGTGTATTGTCAGTTTCCATTGGTATTGTTTTTACCTTTAAGGAGCTTATAATGGAGTCGGTGAGGTAACGTATGCACATACAACATTTCAATAAAGATTCTCACTAAATGCCCAGATAAGCGATTCTGTAATGTCTATGAATGAGATTTGTCTGGTTTGTGAGTTTGTGTGTTTGGGCAGAGGGGAGGTGGTTGTGGGCTAGAACATGCATGTTCTAGAATGATGAGAGAAAAGTTACATAGGAGATATGAACCTCTTTGGGCTATTATAGGACAAATGGGATCTCTAGGCATTGAGGAGAGGTTTTAATTGTATATATTCAAAGAAGAGTGAAGAAATTAAGATTACACTGATCAGAGTTGAATATTAATATTAGGAAATTACGAGAGAGTTAAAGGTTAAGAGGCTGGATTGCCAATGTTTGGGTGAATTGGGAGAGAACTGTTTTTTTTCTTAAAGCAGTAGAATAGAGAGAATATTCTGGGAGTTTTCAGGGATGAGAAAGATGGGGAGAAGGACTTGATATCAGATTTGAAATCTTAAAGTGTGATGAGCTGGCTCAAGATGGAGCTATGCACGGATGTGGAGATGGCCAGAAGTTGAAAATCAATAGGCAACAACATGGATATTAATGTTACCAAAGATAATAATGATGGCATTATAAAGTGCTTTCTATGTGCCAGTGACTCTTTAAGTGTTTTACAGTTCTGAACTGATTTAATCCTTATAATGTAGGTGTTATTATTACTCCTTCTTTATAAATGAGGAAACTAAGACCCAGAGATGTTAAGCTGCCTTAATCACAGTAAAGAAGTGGTAGAGTCAGGATTCAAACCCAGATGATGTGACTCCAGAATTTCTGTTCTCAATTACTATGCTGCTTTTCTCATAATAGGAAATGCTGTCTAAGAAAAATAGAGGATTGAGACAAAAAATGTGAGCCAAGTGATGAAACAGGAAGGTAAAGTGAATCCTAAAGGAGAATGCAAGACCAAGGTAATGAGAAGTGTGTAATATAAATGGACAGATCATATTAACTTCACATTTAGGGCAGCAATGAGATGACATAATCAAGGGCCAAGAGTCAGCTTCCCCATCTCTCTTCCAAGTGAGGAATGGGAGATGATAAATCCTATAAATTTACCCTTCACCCAGAAAACTGGGTTTCCCTGGGTATGAGACAGAAGAGAGAAGAGGTAGAGAAAAAAAGATACCATTCAGGAAATGGGGATACGGCGGCAGAGAGAGATGATCTCTCTTAAGCAAATAGAACAGTTTAAGATATACTAGCCAAATAAAGTTAGTTGAATAGCCCATTGCATTCCTTTACCAAGATGTGTAGGGTTGAGGTGACCCAGGAAGTAGTGAGGAACTGCTTAGTAACTTTTGAGGGCATGAAGTAATAATGACCTGCCAGTTCTACAAATTTAGGCTAGTGACTTGGTATTATGAAGGAAAGGACCATTTCTCGTTAGCTTATCTTTGTGACTTAGCACTGTGACTAGCTCAGTGTTGGGAATATATTAGGCATTCAATAAACAACTATTTGCCACATGAAACAATCATCACACCTGAAAATATCACACTCTTATTCTTTGGATGCTTTACTCTATGACAGAACTTATAGTGAATACATTTGACATAATATGATTGAACAAATGTAATATAGTTGAAATGTATTATTTAGAAGATACTAGGCTGTATGAATCTGGCCCCCACATCATGGGCAGGAGGGGAGACAATCAGCTTTGTATCTCATGA